TTATTTGATTATACCAAATGTTTAAACTAAATGGTTATATTAGGGAAGAAACTTTAAAATGAGCTAACTTCTGGTGTTCAAACAGAAACGCAATAGCATAAACAACAAATTGTTATGTTTATGCAATTGTTTTAGTAAATTTACAATTTATTAATGAATATTAACTAAGTTAAGACAAGTAAAAAAAAAAATTTTATCAACTTGTTGCTTCACATTTGGGGCAAAGGCGTCTTAAATTTTAGGGCTTTTTTGTTTCCAGGCTTTAATCATCACAATTTTTTGTAAAGCATTTTTATTTGACATAAGTACAAACGTATAAATGTATGGAGTTTTTTTCATGTCTGGTTAGCTAGCTCATAAAAAATGTTAGCTATATCAAGCTCAAAAAATGCAGATTTTCATAAATAAAATCTTAACAAAATGTTTTATTTTGTTACAAGTTCTTTTAAATCATTCATAAATTACGCCAATTTAAGTTTGATTGTAAGCAAAAAATTAAATCAAAATCTTTTCATTCCTAATTTTAGCAAAAGATAAGATAGCTGTTTAACTTCAATAAAAATCAGCGCGCAAAGTAAAAATGATCTACTACTTTAAAGAGATAAGAGATTTATGAACAATAACATGGTAAAAAAAAAAAGCAAACTCAAAAATGAGGTGGAACAATTGCAAATAAATATTGAGTAAAGCGGAACAGTTGTTTGATTTGTCAGCTAAATTGGAATGGCGTTCCCCTTACTTTAACCCCTGTGTGTGTGTGTGTGTGTGTGTGTGTGTTTATATATATATATATATATATATATATATATATATATATATATATATATATATATATATATATATATATATATATGTATATATGTATATATATATATATACACACACACACACATATATATATATATGTATATATATATACACACATATATATGTATATATATACACATATATGTATATGTATATACACATATATGTTTATATATATATATATAAACATATATGTATATATATATATATATATACACACACACACACATATATATATATATATATATATGTATATATATACACACATATATATGTATATATATACACATATATGTATATGTATATACACATATATGTTTATATATATATGTGTGTATATATATATATATGTGTGTATATATACATATATATGTGTGTATATATATATATATATATATATATATATATATATATATATATACACACACACACACACACATATATATATATATGTATATATATATACACACATATATATGTATATATATACACATATATGTATATGTATATACACATATATGTTTATATATATATATATATTTATATATATATACATATATATATACATATATATTAGATTTGCTATGATGTAAAGTCTTAAAGCTAAGCAAATATAACAATATCATCAAATAGTTTCAACATTTTAAGTGAAAACTCTGTTGACAAAATTTGAAATGTCATTGCTCTTCTAATAACTTGTTCAACCAGTATCCTTAAATTAGTGATTTTTTTTATATTCTTTTAGTTCTTCATTTGTCATTTGTCAAGTCATTCCAGCTGCACCTTTTCAACCAGGGAAGGCTGTGTTTCCAGCTGTGTGGCAGATGAAAATTTGAGTATTAATAATAAAGCCATTACACAAGAGTGTTTTGGAATACAATTTAAATAGTTGTTGCAATTTGTAATTTCTTTATCTGAAATTTAACCTCTGTAAGCTTTAAAAATTATTTAGAGAAATTATTAATGAACTTGGAGTTACAGATACTAATGTTTTTATATTGTTGTGATGTTTGTATTCACTCCATGTTAGTTTCTGTAAGTCTAAATTTTTAGGTGTTTCAATAAAAAACTCTGTTATATCTGAAATTTAGGGCAAGTCTGAATAATTTAAGTTCTTAAATCTGTTTGCCATTGTGTTATAACATCCTTACCTGGAATAAAAACCATATGCTTATAAAGTGAGCTAGAAGCTTTAGGGTTTTTTTAAATTTAAAAAAAAATGCAGTAGATATTTTTTTAACATCACTTTATCTTCTTTTGATTAATGGTGATACTGCACTATGTAACTCATGAAACACAATGACAGATGTAAGACCAGCATAAAATTCTATCATTTTTAAAATAAATGTTTGTATACAAGTAAATTGCAATAACACGATTTGTTTGGATTATGTTTAAATACAAACTTGTCTGGTTTTATCGTAATAACCGATGTGGTTGAAGTTAATTTTTCATATAAATCTTTATTTTTTCTCAATTTCATGCTCAAGTTCTTTTTTTAAGTTATCAATTTCCTTTTTTAATTCTTGATGTTCTATTATAAAACAATACTTAACATTAAGTTCAACATAATCTGATGGATCATTGTTTGAAAAATTTTTATTAATTACATTTATTAATATAAGTCTTTGAATATTGTAGCTTAAGTTTAAGAAGAATATCGATTTTTGAACGATAGTGCTCTGTCAGGAAAATCTTATTTTATATTTTATGGTAAATAATTAACTATGACGCGATAATGTAGGAATTGAACAGTTAATTAGTTTTCTCCATTTTTCTCTGAGCTGTGGTTGTTATTATATTGTTATATATTTGCGTGTGTGTTGATAATAGATAACAAAATTTATATTTACAAACTATAACCCTAACCCTACTCCTAACCCCTAACCCTGACAGTCTAACAAAGCGTGTATATTTTAAAGAATTAAAAATCACACTAAGTTTTCACAAAGCTTATATTTCAAAGACTTAAAAATCACATTAAATTTTCACTAAGTTTTAATGTTACAAAAGCTGATATAATGATAATTTAAAAAAAGATTGATATGAACATTTTAAACTGAAAACTGAGTTTTAATTTTATAATAAAAAAAGTACTGGTTTCTATTATCATAACTATAACATTAAAATCACTATAAAAATGAATAAATTTTTTTTTTTAAATTTAAAAGATAAAAAATAAAATAAATATATCAACTACTTTAAAAAATTTACTTGAAGCATTTTAAACAGCAAAGATAAAAACCAAGCTTCACAATTAAAAAAAGAATTTAGAAAAAATTTGCTAAGTTAAAAAGTTTTTAAAATAGTAAAAAGTTCAGTAAAAAAAAGTTTAATTATTTAAATTAAAATTTTATTTTATTTTCTATTTTGTAAAGTTTTTTTTGGGGAAAAACTCAGTGACTGCGTTTTTCAAAAAATCTTTTTTTTTTATAATGTATTTATTTTATTCATAAGAATTCTTTCATAATTTTCATACTTTTAAACTAAATTAAGTAATGTTTATACGTTGTACAAGTGTATATGGAATATTGACAAAACTGACCTTACTGCAGTACACAAGCCTGCTAAGATTGTTACTGTGAGAGGTTGTTTTTTTTTTCATAGAAAAAACTGACAGGATCGGTTTCTAAACCATGCACCTCTTGGCAGAAATGGAACAACTTATCCCAGTGGGTGGATGACCTGTTCTAATTTTCTAAAACACATTTTGAAACACTTTGTCTGTGTTGCTCAACCAAGCTTAGAAAAGAAGAACTTAATTATTATGGACAACCACGAGAATCACTGCTCAGTAGGTGTGTCCCAAAACAGCAATTCCTCAATTGTATGATCAAATTTAAAAAAAAAAGTTTTTAATAAAAGTCACAGTACATAAGTTTTACTTTAGATATTTTGACTTGTCCGACATCTTATGAATTTGATCAAATTACAAGGGAGACTTGATCCTGTTTAAGTCTCCCTTGTAAAAGCTGCTCAAGAAGTTGATTTTTTCTTTAGTCACTTGATTATAGAAAAAAAAGAAGACATTTTTATTTATTGGAAACACAAAGAGAAATTTCCACTTCTAAAAGAGTTAGCTCATAAATTATTAGCACTTCCAGCATCCTCTGCATTTTCGGAGTGATTGTTTTCCAAATATGGAAATATTTACGAAAAAAAGCAAATTTTACTATTTATTCATCATAATGGAAATAAATTTATAAATGAGTGATAAACTGATATATATGTTGCATTTAACTTTAATAGTATTTGAATAATAAATTATTATTAATAATAATAACAATATTGAATAGAAACCATTAACATTAGATTATTTAAAAATATAACATTTCTTGGTTTATTAAATCTTCAAATTTCTAAATAGCATTATCCGGTTTATCGAAAACCGGATAATGTTATTATCCGGCCAGATAACAAATATTGAATAATATTGATATCCGGCCCAGATATCTTAGCCGAGACACCCCTACTACTCAGTGGAGGCTGTAAATTATGCAAGAAGCAACAGCATCATTTTTCTTACAATTTTGCCGCACACTTCTCATAAATTGCAGCATTTGGATGGTGCTGTTTTTGGTCCACTGAAGACTTCCAAGCAGCTTCCAATTTTATGATCAAATTCCCTGGAAGAACTGTTACAATTTACAATATTAATTAATACAAAATTGTGTATAAAGTGAAGGTTTTCTCATTTAAGTATGAACACCTTCCTTAATTTTAAGCTCATATTTAGAGGAAGCTCTGTCAATAATAAAGAAGGAATCAGGATTTATTGTGTTTTTGTATTTTTGCTATGAAGCAAGATGCTTGTAAATATGAGCCTTATTAAAACTTAAATGTTCTAAAACAACAAGATAACAATAAATATATAAAACAACAAGATAACAATATATATAAAACAACAAGATAACAATATATATATATAAAACAACAAGATAACAATATATATAAAACAACAAGATAACAATATATATATATATATAAAACAACAAGGTAATATTGAATATTATATTTGTTTAAATAAAAAAAATAGAAAGCATAAAAAAAGTGCTCAGACAAGAAACTTTTTTTTTACAAGTTTAATTCCAATTACTTTCTAGAAGAAGATATATTGAAACTTTAGTATGAAAAAAGATAAATTACACAATATTATAAATGAAAAAAAAAGTAAAAAATTAATATTTACAAACCCCATCATTTTTCATTTTATTTTTAACTACACCATATGAAATTCGATACATCTTTACCCATGAATCAGTGTTAGAATCACCTTGTACATTAATACCTGATATTGCAGAAACTTGATTCAACTCAATTATTATATATGGTTTTCTATCATTAGGTAAGGCACACCATGTGAATGGGCTGTCAATATACGCATCCATTATTGTAAATTCGATTTTTGAAGATATTTCAGCAAATGCTGGAATAAATACATCACCACAAACTACAAAAAATTATACTATAATAATTTTATTATAAAAATTTATTAAAAAAAAAACTTAATGTGCAATTTATTTGAAAATGCTCTAGGTAAATATTTTAATTTAAAACTTCTATCTTATAGAAGTAAATTATCTTTTTTTAATTTCTAGAAAAATAAACTTGTTTTCATTATTATTTTTTACTTACTAAGAATTATTTTTTAAAAAGTGTATTGAAAAAATATAATTCATGTAAAACAATTTTATTCATTATTTAATTATACATTTATAGTTATAAATGTATTATTAAATAATGAAAAATAATTTTATCAATTATTTACTTTTGTCATTTATAGTTATAATAAAAAAAAAAAAATTCCTACTCTTACTATTTAATCTAATTAACCTATTGTTTATATGTGTTAATGTCAAGTAAAAGATTCACTTGTGACTGTGGCAAAAATAACTCGAAAGGAAAAAAAAAGTAAAGGTTAAGAATTAAAAGATTTTCTAAGGTAAACATTTACTTGCATGTAATTCTAACAAATATTTAATAATTTATTGCATTATATTCAAATGCTAATAATAACATCAACTCTACATTTAGAATTGTATATATGATTGTAATAAATAATGGTAATAAATAAACTTAGTAGAAAATAAAAAAATGTTTTAAAATAAATTTAACTTTATTGAAGACTAATAAATTATTTAAAAATCAAAAAGCAAAGTTTTTTGAATTTGTTATTTTGAACAAGTTTTTTTCAGATACCTTATAGCACTTTTTAATTAAAAAAACCATCGGAAATGTATTGGATAATTGTATAATTTATAACATTAGATGAAAATCGGAAAATATCAGATAAAAAAAAGTCAGATAATTATGGGAGAAACTTTGTTGACTCAAGGTAAAGCCCTATATCTATCCCACCTCCTAAAAGGTTACAATCATCAAACAATACAGGTTTCAGTTAGAAATACAACTGTTTTCTAAGTAATGGGAAAACAGAAAAGAAATACTCTACTGTTGCTAAAGTAAGTACATTACTCTTAAAATATAATTTGATAAGTCAATGTTACCAATGGAATAATAAATAGGGAGAAGAAATTAAAGGAAGATAAAAATCTGGAAAAACAAAAACAAGCATCTGATATCGCAAATCAAGCTAGTGTTAACAATTCTTTTCAATGAATCAAGTTATATTGGATTGTTAAAGCTGTTCATATTATATGCAAATTTTAGTGCTTCCTAATCAGTTTAATTACAATCTTTTATGGTTAACTTCTTGGTTCTTCAATTCTAAAAAGAATCCTTGTCTCTGCTGTAAGCTAGCTGGATGCTAGATCTGTTTCGGTTTGAAAAAATTAAATTAATGAAAGTGCACTTTCATTAATTTAACTTTTTTCCTCTATGTCTAAATATGGACTTTCTGTGATCTAATTGATTGAGATTTTTATTGGTGGTTCTTAACATATTTCTTGATAGATGCACTAAATTTGAGCTTTATGGTATTTTTTTATGCTTTAGGTACTTTTTTATCCTAACTCCATTGTACTATTATAAAAAAACTTATTGCTATAATATTCTGAAATTAAAAATATTATTTACAATAAACTAAACATACTAAGATAAGCAAAATACTAGTAAATTAAACAAGATATTAAATTCAAGACAAGGCAATAGATTTCTAAGGAACTATTTAAGTGTTTAAGTGCAACAACAAACATGTATTTAAAATTAGTTTTAATAAATAAAAGTTTACAATGCGCAAAAAAAAAAGATTTTCCTTTATCTTCTAATAAATAACCTTGATTTTTAAAACATTTTTAATGATAGTATCAATTTAATAATTTTTTAATGAAAAATATAAAAATTAACAAAAAAAAAAATTAATAATTAGGGAAACTGATTGCATAGATATTGGGAATAATTTTAGTTTTGTTATAGCACCATTTTATTCCAATTAAGCTCACTTTTTTCCTAAATTAAAGTGCTTTGATACTTTTATCGTAACAGTTAGCTTCCTTAAAAAAAACTCCAGAAAAATAAAAATAAAATTAATTAAAAATTATTTTGTTTACAGTGAAATTTAAACAATTCATTCAAAGAACTTATATATTTTAATAGGATTAAAATTGCCCAAACAAAATGAAATTCTAGAAATAATAAATTATACAAAAGCTTTAAACTTAATGGCTTTTACTTAATACTTTTACTTTATTCTTAAGAAATCACTAAATAAATTACAATTTATGATTCCTACTAAATATTTTATATTGCACCTGCATTATTTCTTTAAACCTTTTATTTCTTTGACTCTAATTTTATCACTGATTAAATATTCATAACTTTTTAGTTCCAACAAACTTTGAATTATTTTGTTATATTGCTGCATAATCATGCTTGCAGCAACTTTTAAGATTAGTTTAGGTTTACAGGATAAATTTATTAGTTTAGGTTACACTCTATCTGCCAAGATTGAGCCTCTGTTCCATTGCCACAAGATAGAATCTCTTTCTCTTTTCTACAAATACCATAGTGGTTGCTGCTCAAACAGGCAACCATCTTTTGTTCCATCAACCAAAATTTAATCTTTCCTGAGTTATCATTCAGAAAAGTTATATTCTTTTATTGTATCTGTTCCTATGTGCACTCCTTTTGTTTGTTTTTTCTTGCTTCACTAAAACAACATTAATTGTTCTAAGAACTGTTAGATATCAGTGCTGTTGGACATTGCAAAAGTTTTTCCAAAAAGTGTTTACAATGGTGAGTATTTTTTCATGCAAGGGTTTTGTCCCACTCCTGTAAATAGAGCAGCTGGTTTTAAAAACGAAAAACTTATACCTTAAAATCTCTCAAAATGTAGAAAAAAACTCATTTTACTAGAAAAATTCAAAATATAGATAGGAGAAATTTTATTTACAAAATGAATGTTTTAAACCTTTATTTTAAATTAAGTTGTGTCTTCATTCATTTTAATTAATACTAAAATAAAAAAGCATGAAATTAATAAACATAAGTAGTAGGAATAGGAGAGTTCTGGGCCATTTTCATTTTTAACCCTATTTTCAACCATAAATTAATATTAATATAGGGTTCAATGTTAACCATATTGTATATAATTTATTTCGATAAGAAATAATTTTTTATTTTAAAAAAAATTGATTTTTTAAAATAAGTGTTAATTTTTATTTCTTGTTATGAAATATTACGAAAAATTCTTGCATGACGTCATAGGTCACGTGACTTTTCTTACTTCTTATTTTTCTTTATATCCTAATTCATGTAAATATTTTACTACTTCAAGGTGATCATTTTCTATAGCAATATAAATTGTCCATTTGTCACATTTATACCCTAATTCATATAAATATTTTAACATTTCAAGGTGACCATTTTCTGCAGCTTTATCTATTGCATCTTTTGTTCCTTTATACCCTAATTCATGTAAATATTTTACTACTTCAATGTGACCATTTCTAGCAGCTTTATCTATTGCATCTTCTGTACCTTTATATCCTAATTCATGTAAATATTTTAATATTTCAAGATGACCATTTTTAGCAACACAATCAATTGTCCAATCGTAACATTCATACTCTAATTCATGTAAATATTTTAATATTTCAAAGTGGTTATTTATAGCAGCATAACTAATTGCTAATTTATCACCTTTATATCCTATTTCAAGTAAATATTTTACTACTTCAAAGTGACCGTTTATAGCAGCAGAACTAATTGCACATTTTTCATATTTATACCTAAATTTATATAATTGTTGCTCTAATTCAAAGTCATAATTTTCAGTAGCATAATTAATTGCTAATTCTTCATAATAATACTTTAATTTATGCAAATATTTTACTTGTTCAAGGTTACCATTTTCTATAGCGCAATTAATTGCTTTTAATATTTTAATAACATTATTTTTATTTTTTTTTTCTTCGTCTTCCATTCTTTTTTATATACACAAGAAAATTATTTAATTCATTTTCAAAATTTTTTTATTTTTAATACGCATGCGCTTTAATGAATGGAAATATTCAAGGATATGTAATTGACAATTAGCAGTAGCACAAATAAAAGATAAATCATTTAATTTATAACCTAACAATATTAAATATTTAATTATTTCAAGATGACCATTTTTAGCAGCATCATTAATTGCCCATTTGTCTCCTCTATACCCTAATTCATGTAAATATTTAATTACTTCAAGATGACCATTTCCAGCAGCATTTTCAAAAGCAACTTCTGTACCTTTATACCCTAATTCATGTAAATATTTAATTACTTCAAGATGATCATTTTTAGCAGCATCATTAATTGCCTGTTTGTCTCCTCTATACCCTAATTCATGTAAATATTTAATTACTTCAAGATGACCATTTCCAGCAGCAATATTAATTGCACATTCGTCTCCTCTATACCCTAATTCATGTAAATACTTTACTAATTCAATGTTATTATTTTTTACAGCATCATCAATTGCCCATCTGCCACATTTATATCCTAATTCATGTAAATACTTTACTAATTCAATGTTATTATTTTTTACAGAATCATCAATTGCCCATGAATTACATTTATATCCTAATTCATGTAAATACTTTACTAATTCAATGTTATTATTTTTTACAGCATTATTTATTGCATCTTGTATACTTTTATAACCTAATGAATGTAAATATTTTACAACTTCAAGTCGTTTTTTTTTTTTTTTATCATCTTCATTATCTTCATTATCATATTCAGTAGTTTCTGTAATTTCAGTAGTTACTGTAGTTACTGTAGTAACTTCTTCTTCATCTTCATCATCTTCATTATCTTCATTATCATATTCAGTAGTTTCTGTAATTTCAGTAGTTACTGTAGTTACTGTAGTAACTTCTTCTTCATCTTCATCATCTTCATCATCTTCTTCATCTTCATTATCTTCATCATCTTCTTCAGTCATTTCAATATCATTATCATATTCAGTAGTTTCTGTAATTTCAGTAACTTCAGTAGTAACTGTAGTAA